AGGATTTTTTGCTTCACCCAGGAAAGAACTCAAGGGTGAGCCAGTGATGGTTAGACGGTGATCGTTTATTGAATGGTACTGCTCCTTGCAGGGCAGGGTTCATGGGCAGTGTGCTCAGAGTTGGTACTTGTGGGCTGCTGGCTAGCTGTATTTATATCCATTTTTAATTACATGCAAATTAAGGGTCAGATTATTCAGAAATTTCTAGAAGGGGGGTGGTAATAACTGAGTTGTTACTATGGCATTTGTAAATTGTCATGGCGTTGGTGGGAGCGTCTTATGCCAATAAGCAATGAGGGCAACTAGGGATCACCTTTGTAACCATCTGCTGGTTTCTGCTGGTTTTTTAAACTTTACCCTATCTGGACCAGTTCCTGTCCAGAATAGGACAGCAGGGTGGTGACCAGAAAACAAGTCCTGCTGGTTTCTTACCTCACTTTATCAGAGGGCTTTGCAGCTACAAAGCTGACATTGCTCAGCCATTGGCACGAGTGTGAGCTTCTCTGGGACAGGAATCACATATTCTGCATTTTGTTCTCCCAGCCCTTAACCCAGTTGTCTGGGAAGGAGTAACCTCTCAGTATATGTGCAGAACCCCAGTAAGATTCTGGTATAACGTAGAGAACCCCAGGCCAGGGATCAGAAGACCTGGGCTCAGGTCCAACTGAGCCTCCTACCAATGGTGTGACTTTGGGAGACTCACTTCCTCCTATGAGTCATCAACATCCCTAGCTGTGAAATGAGAAGTTTCAACCATATACACTCTGGAGTCCCTTCCGGCTCTATATTCTCTGCTGGTAGCAAAACAGTAGGCCACTCTTTGTTTTTTGCTTTTATCTTTAGTTCCTTTTCCCCTGCCTCCTCCTTCATTTTCTTCATTTTTTCCTTTTCTTTTAGTCAGTCAACAAACATTTCCTACTACATTCCAGACCCTATGTCAGAAGCTGGGAACTCAATGGTAAGCAAGATAAATGCAGGAAAAAAAGTACTTAAGTGTTTGTTGATTTACTGAATACTATAACTGCATACTATTCAATTCGTATTTTGAACGTTTGCTTCAACATACAAGCTAATTGTGCAGTTTCTATTGCTCTTAATGACATGCCTGTGAGAAGTAAAGGAAAACCCAATTATATTAAACACTTAAGAGAAGTCCTACAATTCTGACATAAGCAGCTACAGAAATTATGTAGACACTTCAGGTTTAAACAGGTTTGGCTGAAATTGCCAAGGTCACTGCAACAGTTACCCAGGTGAGGATGGCTGGTAGAAACTCTGTAGTAAACTACCTCCATTCCAACTTACAAATGCGCTTTAAAAAATTAAACATAGGCCAGGCACCGTGGCTCACGCCTGTAATCCCAGCACTTTGAGAGGCTGAGGCGGGCGGATCACGAGGTCAGGAGATCAAGACCATCCTGGCTAACACAGTGAAACCCTGTCTCTACTAAAAACACAAAAAATTAGCTGGGCGTGGTGGCGGGCGCCTGTAGTCCCAGCTACTCAGGAGGCTGAGGCAGGAGAATGGCGTAACCCGGAAGGAGGAGCTTGCAGTGAGCTGAGATCGCGCCACCACACTCCAGCCTGGGCGACAGAGGGAGACTCCATCTCAAAAAAATAAAATAAAATAAAATAAAAATAAAATAAACATATTGGTACATTCACAGTTAAGCTGGGAAAACAACTTCTTTTGTAATATAGCTTTTTACATAGTTTGATGTTTTGGAGTGAAATTCCCCCTCCCTTCAAGAGTATGATGCTTTATCAGATTCCATATGTAAGAACTTGGCATGAGCCCCTCTCCCCTTGGCACTGTTACATTAAACCTTATCAGACTCCCCATATGCGAATTACCAAGTTACTGACCCCAACTACTGGACTTCAAAAATATATATACACTCAAGAGTTTAACAGACACCAGGAGAGCTTAGGCAGAGCTACACTCTTGTCAGACGCTTCTCCAAATACAGAGCTCAGACTATGTGCTCTGTCATCCTGTGACAGGATGACACCCTGTAGCCTTCGTGCTAATATCTGAAGACCGGCCCTAGAGGGACCTCACCTGTCGCATGTGTCTCCACTGTGGTGGTCAAGCCTGCTTCCCCCTAAAACCACTCGTAGAAAGGTATATCTCAAACATTAACTAGACTTACTCTTCACAGAGGTCTGCTCCTCTCCTAACTGAGCAACTGGACTTTTAGTAATTTTGGAACGCACTTACTATATGGTTAATGTACCTCTTCTATAGAGTATATTCCCTGTGAGGTTTGTTCTCATTATTCTCCCCCTCTTTAAGCATTGTGAAGCTACAATGTTCACTTTCTATGGAAATAACCTAGGTGATTTGTGAAATCATACTTTGATCACCTATTTCCACTATATAGAACAGCTTTATAACTAGCTTGGGAGCACAGAATGGCTAATGTATACAGAAAGAGACAAATGTGGGACAACACAAGTAGAAATAGATGATGGCTTCACTCAATTTGCAGTTTCTGTATCTGTTCTTATAAGGGTAGGCCAGTCAGATACTTAAATTCTGGAAAGTTCAACATTGACTTGTGAGGGTAAAGTGGTAACTATAAACTATCTTCCTTTGCTTTTAGCTCAAAGGACAAATGAATTGAGAGAATATTCAGTTGTTTTTTTTTTTAATTGTCTTTAGGACTTGATTGGGGAAATGATAATTAAACATGAAGGGCCTTTGGGATTTGGCTGGACGATACAGTAACAGGGAAGGATGGGCTTCAAGTTAAGCAGGGAGGACCGAATGAACTAGTGTTTGAGGAACATTAAGGATATAGCCAGAAAGTCAGGCCAGTGGGCAAGTTTTCAAAATTCTCTTCATACGGTTGCCAGAGGCCTTTATGACATGTTAACTAAGAGGCTTATTAGTTTTAGAACTTACTCATTTCTCAAATGCTTTTTAAGTCCTTTATGAAAAGAGACATCATGTTGTGTTGTTAAGAGATAATAAAAGGGCCAGGCGCAGTGGCTCGTGCCTGTAATCCCAGCACTTTGGGAGGCCGAGGCAGGTGGATCACCTGAGGTCAGGAGTTCGAGACCAGCCTGACCAACATGGAGAAACCCCATCTCTACTAAAAATACAAAATTAGCCAGGTGTGGTGGCACATGCCTGTAATCCCAGCTACTTGGGAGGCTGAGGCAGGACAGTCACTTGAACCCAGGAGGCAGAGGTTGCGGTGAGCCAAGATCACACCACTGCACTCCAGCCTGGGCAACAAGAGCAAAACTCCATCACACACACACACACACACACACACACACACACACACACACGAAGAGATAATAAAACATCTCAGTCTCTGACATTTGTGAAATATCACACTTGTTGAGCGCCCACTGTGGGTATAATTTTATTCTGGGTTTTTCTAAACTGAAGAATTCAGGTTTAAAATTCAGAACACCTCTAGAAATACAGAAAAATTTCTATTTCTCAAATGGAGACATCAATAGCAACTACCTATAAAATAGCTCTCCCTCAAAAAGGTCTTTCATTAAAAACAAGTACAAAAGAGAACATCTTTTTTCAGCAGTAAGAACCCACGAGATCTTGTTCTTTGGTTATAGGATCGAAAAAATCACATTTGTACACCTAGCACTGATTTCAGATTCGAAGTAATGCCATCTATAAAAATCATAATTTCACATTTCAGTGGCCTGCCAACCTGGATATCTATGCTTAAAAAAAAAAAACTATCAAAACAAGGAAAATATAGCTTGTCTTTAACACATTTCTAAGGTATTATGTAAAGGAAAATAGTTTCATAGAGGTTTCTACTTCTTTTAGATCAAATTAATAGTCTCTCTTAATCACAGCCTTTAAAAATCTCAATAGCAGAAAAAGACGCATTTACCCTAGCAAAACTTGAACATTTCACTTTTTAAGGTTTTAAGTGAATTGGAAAGGCATATATTAGTAATTAGTGGTAAATCTTAGACACCAAAAATTTAAAAGGAAAATAGTACCAAAAGTGTAGCTGTTACCAAAAAACTACAACACTGTAACTACCCCAAATAAAATAATGAAGCACATACTATCCAAAAACCATCACTATAATCCAGCAGGTTCCAAAGTGATCCCTGAATTTACCTACTCATCTGTCATGAATGTTTATCTTTCTCTATACCTACTGGATCAAGGAACCTTAATTCTTTTTCAGTATATTTTATGTGAAGAGTAGACAATTGTTGCTCACAATTGGGCCTTTCATCATTTCACTAGTGGTCCCTAACTCCATTAAAATACACACACACACACACACACATACACACATATATACACACACACACACACACACACATATATGGGGGGTGGGGAAGCTAATGGGGAAGATGAGAAAAAAAGAGTTGGTGAGTCATATTTACCTTATGTGAGACCTAATCTAAAATTTGCCAAATTCAGTGCTGAAATCTGAACAGGTGTATAAAAAGAGTTGTTACTCTCTCCTTCATATTTATACCGCATTTCTTGAAAGAAAAACCTTAAATATGTTTCTAGGTTAAGGATTTAAAGTTGCCACACTGCCATTATACAAAAGGCTGAACAGACAGCAGGCAAAGTGACCAGTTTCTAGACTTTGCCCTCAAGGGATACAGGTTCAGACACATCAACCAAGCTTGAGGCAAAAATTCAAAACTGGAGACACCAGCCTTTGTAACCAGAAGGCAACTGTTTTTCTGAAACTTCAGAAATATTCAAGCTGGGAAGGGTGAAATTTACCTTTAAAAAGGAATATTCAAAAACTTTCTGATCATATTAAGACAGAATATAGGCAGAGTAACATTGTAGTGCTGTTGGTATACGTTTTTAAACCAAATTTATTTATCATCCTTGCTTACTGACTCCTGCCCCAAAGAAGGATATTACATGGAAACAGTCTTTATACTAATCTATGTTATGGCTTTGCGTTCCTATTTTTTTTGGTCTGAGTAAGATATTAGGGCTCGTGCTTACAAAAGCAAATGAAAGGATCAAATAACATGATTAATACATTTTATTACAAAGCTTTTAGAAGATGAGGGGCAGAGCTAACAAATTACCTTAATCATTAAAAACCACAAAGTTGGAGAATTTTTTTAAAAAGAGTGGATACCAAAATAGCTTTTAGGAAGATGACAGCTTAATAGTCTCTTAAGTTGTTGAAGACAGCAAAAGAAGGCTTAAGATCTGGAGGATAAAAGTCATATTCAAAAACATGCTAAAGAATACATTAAAACAAACAAAGAACGAGGAAAAAATAAATTGTGCCTTAGAAGTTAAATCCTGTCATAAATGAACATAATTTCTGAAGGACTGTGGCCCACTTCAACACTCAAACAAAAAAAAACCTCATTGCTAAAACAGCTTCAACATTCCTTTGGAGTTTGCTGTAAAGAATTTATCCTGCATATAGGGTAGACATGAAACACATCTTGAAGAGACTCAGAATATCTGCAAACATAAAACTGCTTCTCTAAACGGCATTTACTGGCCTTGAATCCAGTAGAGTAGGGTTCAGCTATGACATGAAATGTGTCATCCTGGGGACGGGGGAGCAATTTGAAGAAAAAGGGCACTTTGCTATAGTTAATTCATGTGGCTGTAATAGTCTACAAGTTTCTCCTCAATGCCAAATATCTATTAAGAATTTAAAAATGCAGATGAAACTTTCTATTTCCAAGAATTCATGTGATAAAGGGTAATCATCACAGAGTTTACATATGCTCAGTTTTCTTAAAGCCATAGATTTTATTCCAGAAAGGAGAAAGTACACGGCATCAATAAACCACACATGCCATGAATTTTAGAACACTAAATTATTTTTCTCTGGCTTATCAACCAGTTATATCCATGGGCTGCAAATTATACCCACAACAAAACTGATAACATTTTGCAACATGTCAAAGAAAGACCAATATTTTTGCCTGAGTATCCCACTAACCTTTATCTAGAGTTATTATTCTTGGACTTTCTACAGAAGTTTCTTTTCAAATAATTTATGAATTACAACAACTGGAAAGAATACTGTGAGGACCTGAATACTTCAATCAAACACTGAAGGCAACAATCTTTCTCTTTAAACCATCTCTCCTGCCTGAATTTTTATATACTAAAATAACCCCACTCCTTCATTTCTGCAGGAGTAGCCAGATAAGGTGGCATTCCTTGGCCATCACAAGTCCCAGGTCAAAACATCTCCGTTCTTCAATGTTCTAGCAAAGGCTTCTGGCCCTGCAGCTCATGCCTGTGTGATTCAATCTTGTTCTCAATGAGAGAGATCTCTAGCACAGGTAAGAGTAGCTGAAAGGCGTCCTGGATGTAGGAGGCACTGTTTGATGCCTGCCAGGATTGAAAAAACAAAAAAAGAGAAAACATTAGTTATTTAAAAGAGAAGATATACTGTAAGACAACAAGGGGAACAGATTAATTTTTGTAATCTAACTGAATTCATAGCCTGGCAAATAAGAGCAGTGACTTGGCCATTTTGGTAAACTCTATTATAGGGAAAAGGATCCAGCTCTTAAGATGATATGACAGCAAAACAGAATGTCACCATTTTTGTCCAACTTGCCCATCAGAAATGGTAGCTGTTCTTTGGCAACCTGCTCAGACTTGGCATTCAAAGCTTATTTATTCCTTTATTAAGTGGGGTAGATTATGTCACAATATTGTGGTCAATTACTGAAAGAGGCTTTCAGAAGGCTATAAATTCTACACCTATAGAATTTCTAGCCCATTATGATAGCTCTTCTTCCATGAACTCAATGCAATCAGTGAGCACAATAACTGCTCACACACATAAACAAATAATATTGCTTTCAAAGATGACAGTATAGATATATTTCTACCTTGAACAACATTTTTCAGAAGTGTTAGAGAATCATTACCCTCAGTTTGCTGAGGGTAATTCATTTATACTGAAAAGCCCTCACCTTTCAAAAGAATATCAACAGAGACTTGATTACATTAAGACAAAATGTATAATTTCAAAGACAAGAGTGTTTCAAATCTGTATGCAAAAAAAAATCAACTAAAAATAATAGAGAGCCCATATCAAGTGAGATTACCTTTTTAAAATTTATCAGTGGCAAGTACTCCTATTTAAAATTCAGTGTGACATTTAATACTCAATTTCCCACACACAAGAGACCTCAGATATCATCAAGTTAAATCTCTTATGTTGCGCATGAAAATAACGAAGTTTGTCAGAGTCACACAACAAATCAAGGAAGATCCAGAGCAACACTGGGTTCCTGGTTTACAAAGTCCTTTCTTCTGCCATTTACTAAATCACAAACTTATATTTTTAAAAGTTATTTAAGTGATCAAAATAGCTTCCCTGACTACTCAATTAAAACTGTGTAATTAAAGAATTAAAATCATTTCCTTGATGGTAATGTCAAAAGAATTTAAAACTAGAGAAGAGTTTGGTAGTTGAAACATTTTTTCAATTAACATCTAAAACTTAACTATCAAATATATATTTTCCCCCCAGACTTACATAAACATGTTTTTTAAAAAATCATCAAAAAGTCTATGTTGTTTGCACAGTTAATTTCAAGGTAGACTTCTTAAAACATGAAATCCAGAAAACATCACATAAGGAGGTAATATAATCAGTCACAGGATCCTCTTTTCCACTGACTTAAACCACCTACTTTCTCAAATCTAATGGAATGATGAGGATAATGTAAACACTACCTTTCTGACAAAACAAAGCATGATTTCCTAGCAAGGAAATGACAAAATGTTTTGTTTTATAACAAACCGCTGCATAAACTTTAGTCCTTTAGGAAGCAGCGCTTACCTGTTTGTAATTTTCAGCCCTTCATGTTTACCAGCTGGTATTCAGAAGGTGTTTCATTACTGTGAACCGTCTATTAAGCTATCAAGGATTAGTACTAAGTAATGATAATCTACTGCTTCTTCCATTGTACTTTACCCTGCAGCTTCAACTGTATGCTTTGTAATTAATAAGGAAGGAATACATATCAAATATACACTATTTTGGTCATGTCTACATCAATATGGTTAAATTACCAATATGGTGAAAAAAATAAAAAAGCCAAAAACAAAAGGCTTCAGAAGAGTTAATTAGTACGTAATACCTTTGGAGTCAGAGACTTAAACAATTACTACTAACCTCTAGAAATACTGCAGTGATTAATGGGTTAAGGACATCTGCCATTTCTTTGACCTGGAATAAAGAATACATTTTTAAGTGAGCAGAGTAGGTTAAGTAACAGTACGTGGAGTACGATCACACTTTAAAACACACACACACACACACACACACACACACACACACACACGTACATAAATATTAAATATAAGCATAGAAGTCTGGACTGAAAGCAAAATGTCATCTTCAGGAAGTGGAATTGTAAGTGTTTTAAACTTCCTTCTTATCTTTCTGTGCTATCCATATTGAGAGTGTATTGTTTTATACCTTTTTATTGACTTTAAAAAGTATCATTTTTAATGATACTTTAAAAATGATACTACAAAATCTTAGAACCATTTTAAAACAAAATATGTAGATATGGAACATGTGCTCAAAAAACTCAAGGGTCTTTAACACAGGCTGTTTAGAAAAGTCTTATAAATAAATAATGTAATTTAACACTTGTATGTGTCAGCATCTTATAGTTGATATGCTAGCTTAAAGTATCCTTATGGAACACAGAGAAAGATTTGGCCTTATAAGATTAACTTCAGGAAACCCAGATCCTCTTGTCAAGAAAATACTACAGGGAAAAGTGAAGCTGTACCAAAAGATTATCCTTTACAGGAATAATCTAAACTCAAATTTTAAAAAATTAACTTAGGCCATGGTCTTAATTAAAACAAATGTAATGTTCATGACTAGAGCTTTTAAATAAACAAATACATAAATAAATAAAATTTAAGAGCCCACAGTAATTTTGCTGCTACACTGACACTGATATACTTACTATAAAGTGATTTTCATTTGCTTGTTTAAAATGCCCTTGATTTTATCCTAACTCATTATTACTGGTTTCTCAATCATCGTCCATAACTCACACATCTTCATAAATTTTTACAATTCCAATTTTGAAAATCCCCAAAGACTTTAGCTTTAACTACATCTTTCCCACTGACTGGCAACTGCATACCGTGAGCACTGCCATAGTCTAAGTACAGAGTTGCTCTTTAAAACCAGAGTCAAAATCTGAAGTTTGAATTTTATCAAGGTCTATATGTCCATTGCAGGTCTCAGAAGATAGCATAAAAAACACTGAAAACTTCATAAACAGAAATGAACAGAAATTAATTAGAATTAGACATAGACAAGCTGATCCTAAAATTCAGATGGAAATGCACAAGGCCCCAAGTAGTCAAAAAATCTTGAAAATAAAAACAAAGTTGGAGGACTTACACTTTTTGATTCCAAACCTACTACAAAACTACAATAATCAAGACAATATGATACTGGCATTAGGATAAACATACAGATTAATGGACTAAAAATCAGAGTCCAGAAATAAACCCATATATCTATGCCTAACTGATTTTCAACAAAGGAGCCAAGACAATTTAATGGAGGAAAGAACAGTCTTTTCAACACATAGTACTGGAACAAATGGATATCCATATGCAAAAGCATGAAGTACGGCCCCCTACCTCACACCATACACAAAAATTAACTGAAAATGGATCACAGACATAAATGTAAGGGCTACAACAAAACTTTTAGAAGATTAGAGGAGTAAAACTTCACTGCAAAGGACACTATCAAAAAAGTGAAATGACAACTCATGGACTTGGAGAAATACATTCTCATCAAAAATCTGATAAGAAACATGTATTGGGAAAACATTAAAAAAAAAAAAAACTCCTACAAGTAATAATAAAAACACAAACAATCCAAGTTTTAAAACAAGCAAAGTGCTGAAATAGGTATTTCTCCAAAGAAGTCAAACAAACAGCCAATCAGCACATTAAAAGATGTTCAACATTGGCCGGGCATGGTGGCTCATGCCTGTAAACCCAGCACTTTGGGAGGCCAAGGCGGGTGGATCACCTGAGGTCGGGAGTTCGAGACCAGCTTGGCCAACATGGTGAAACCCCGTCTACCAAAAATACAAAAGTTGGCTGGGCATGGTGATGGATGCCTGTAATCCCAGCCACTCGGGAGTCAGAGTTAGGAAAATCACTTGGACCAGGAGGTGGAGGTTGCAGTGAGCTGAGATCATGCCATTGCACTCCAGCCTGGGCGACAAGAGCAAAATTCCGCCTCAAAAAAAAAAAAAAAAAAAAAGATGTTCAACATCTTTAGCCATTAGAGAAATGTAAATCAAAACCACAATGAGATATCATTTCATACCCACTAGGATGGCTAAAATAAAAACAAACAACAATAAGTATTAGCAAGGATATGGAGAAACTGGAACCCTTATACATTGCTAGTGAGAATGTAAAATTGTGCAGCCACTTTGGAAAACAGTTTGGTAATTCCTTAACGACCATATCGCCCATATGACCCAGCAATTCCACTCCTAGCTATCTACCCTAGAGAAATGAAAACATATTGACATAAAAGCATACATGCATGTTCACAGCAACATTATTCATTATAGCCAAAAAGCAGAAATAATCCAAATGTCTATCAACTGATGAACAAATTAAATGTGATATATATCCATAAGATAGATTATTATTTGGTAATAAAAAGGAAGCATTAATACATGCTACAATGTGGATAAGCCTCAAAAACACTATGCTAAGTGAGTGAAACCAAACACAAAATACCACATATTGTTTAATCCCATTTATGTGAAAGATGCAAAGCAACCAAATCTATAGAAAGAGAAAGCAGATTCATGGTGCTTAGGGCTGGGAAAATATGGAGTGAAAGGGAATGGGGATTGTACGAGTTTTGGGGAAGGCTGATGAAAGTGTTTTAAAATTAGACTATGGAAATGGCTGCACAACTCTGTAAATATACTAAAAACTTAAAACTATTGAATTGTACACTTAAAGTGAGCAAATTTTATGATATTTAAACTGCTAAAGAAACCAGACAAACATTATTGCAATAAGAGGCATGAATTCTTACCCCAGCAGTTGTTAGGCAGGTGGTGAACTCTTTAGACAAAGAGGACAACTCTTTACACAACACAATTGTCATCCTAGGAAAGAAAGGAAAAGTCAGAAACGTTCTTTTCTCTTTTTTTATTTTCTTAATAAGCTATATTTAACAACTGTCAGAACAGAACAAATCACTCCTGGTACTAAATGTGAAAGAAGAAAGCTTTTCAAGGGAGTAGTAGCCCCCCTTATCAGTGGTTTCACTTTCTGCAGTTTCAGTTACTCATGGTCAACAATGATCTGAAAATAATTTCAAAAAAATTCCAGAAATAAATAATTCATAAGTTTGTAATTGCACATCGTTTTGAGTAGTGTGATGAAATCTCTCATTGTCTGCTCCATCCCACCCAGGACATGAATCATCCCTTTGTCCAGCATATCCACAGAACCCATTCATGAGTCAGCTATTAATAGTAGCCATCTCGGTTATCAGACTGAGCGCTGTGTTATCACAGTGCCTATGTTCAAGTAACCTTTATTTTACTTAATAATGGCCCCTGCTATGGTTTTGATATGTCCCCTCCAAAACTCATGTTGAAATTTTATTCCCGACATGGCAGTATTAGGAGGTGGGACTGAGTGGGAGCTGTTTGGATAATGGGGCACTGTCCTCATGAACAGATTAATGAAATTATCACAGTCGTGAGTTCTCACTCTGGTGGGAATAAATTAGGTCCCAGAGAGCATGTAGTTATAAAGCAAGTCCAGTCTCTCATGCAGGTCTCTTTGCACATACCCACTCATCTTCCTGCTTTTTTACCATGTTGTGGAGCGGTATACGGCCCTCACCAGAAGTCAAGCAGATGCCAGTGCTATGCTCTTGGACTTTCCAGCCACCAGAATCATGAGCCAAATAAGGCTCTTTTCTTTGTAAATTATCTACCCTCAGATATTCTGTTACAGTAACACTAAATGGGCTAAGGCAGCCCCAAAGCCCAAGAGTTGTGATGCTGGCAATTCAGACATGCCAAAGAGAAGCCATAAAGTGCTTCCTTGAAGTGAAAAGGTGAGAGGTCCTCACTTCGTAAGAAAAAAGAAAATTATATGCTGAGGCAGCTAATCTACAATAAGAATGAATCTTCTACCCATAAAACTGTGAGAAGGAGAAAGAAATCATGCTACTTTTGCTGTTGCACCACTAACTGCAAAAGTTCTAGTCACAGTGGGTGATATGTACTGAGTAAGATGAAAAAAGCAAACTACTCATCTGACAGGGGACTAATATCCAGAATATACAAAGAACTCAACAGTAAAAGTAAAAAAAACTCATTAAAAAATAGGCAAAGGACATGAACAGACATTTCTCAAAAGAAGACATACAAATGACCAACGGATACATGAAAAAATGCTCAATATCACTGATGTATCAATAATCAAGAAAATGCAAATCAAGACCACAGTGAGCTATCATATCACCCCAGTTAGAATGGCTATCATTATTAAAAAGACAAAAAAATGGCTGGGCATGGTGGCTCATGCCTATAATCCCAGCACTTTGGGAGGTCAAGGCAGGTGGACCACTTGAGGTCAGGAGTTTGAGACAAGCCTGGTCAACATGGTGAAACTCCATCTCTACTAAAATACAAAAATTAGCTGGGCGTGGTGGAGCGCACTTGTAATCCCAGCTACTCAGGAGGCTAAGGCAGGAGAATCACTTGAACATGGGAGGTAGAGGTTGCAGTGAACCAAGATTGCGCCACTGCACTCCAGCCTGAGTGACACAAGCAAGACTCCATCTCAAAAAAAAAAAGACAAAAAAATAATAGATGCTGGCAACAATTCCAAGAAAAGAGAATTCCTATATGTTGTTAGAACGTAAATTAGTACAACCACTATGAAAAACAGTATGAAGATTTCTCAAAAAATAAAATGGAACTACCAAACTACTGGGTATTTAGCCAAAGGAAAATAAATAAATACATATATCAAAGGGATACCTGCACCTGCATGTTTATTGCAGCACTATTCACAAAAGCAAAGATATGGAATTAACCTAAGTTAGTTGACAAATGGATAAAGAAAATGTGGTGCGTGTGTGTGTATATATATACATATACACACACACACACACATAATGGAATACTATTCAGCTATTAAAGAAAATGTCATTTGCAGCAACACAGATAGAACCACAGGTCATGAGGTTAAGTGAAATAAGCCAAGCACAGAAAGACAAACACCTCATGTTCTCACTCATATGTGGGAGCTAGAAAAACATGATCTTACGGAAATAGAGAATAGAACAACTGTGATACCAGAAATGGGGAAAGGTGGGTGGGTGAGTGGGTGGAGATGAAGTTAGTTAATGAGTACAAACATACAGTTAAATAGAAAAAATAAATTCTAATGTTTGATAGCAGAATAGGGTGACTTATATTTAGCAATAATATTTTGTATATTTCAAAGTAATGTAGACACTTGAAATGATACCAACATATAGACATGATAAACACTCAAGGTGATGAATATCCCAAATACTCTGACTTGATCATTATACATTCTATGCATGTAACACTCACATGTACCCCATATATAAAAATATATAAATTATATATAAATATATAAATGATATATAAATATATACTATAAATATATAAATCATATATAAATATATATCATGTATCTATATATAGATACATACATATAATATATATTTATATAAATTAAATATATATTACATAATATATAATATATATTTATTATATTAAATATACATATTAATATTTAATATATAATATACATTTATATATATTTGTAATATATACATATTTATTTATATATTTGTAATATATACATATATAATATACATTATATTATAAAAATATAACATATATTTATATTACATATTATATGTTTATATATAATATAAATTATATTATATATTATATTAATATATTATATAAATATATATTATTATATTATATAAATATTAATATATTATATATTTAATAATATATTTACTGTATTGTAAATTATATAAATATATATTTATATATATATTATATATTTATAGCATTATATATTATAAATACATATTTATATAAATATATACTATAAATATATAAATGGTATATTATAAACATATAAATATATTTATATATATGAATATATTATAAACACATACATTATATAAAAATATATATAATATGTATCAATAAAATATTTTTTAAAAAGATGGAAAAGGCATTAAATTTGTGGGTGGAAGACATGCACAGAAATGTGTTCCAAATGATGGCAATCAAGTGTGGTACTACCCACAGTTTCAGGAATCCACTAGGGGCTTAGAACATAACCCATACAGATAAGGGGGTACACTACTGTATGCCTAAATCAGCCCGCCAATGTATAAGAAGGTCCATCTGAGCAGGCACTCATGCTACAGAAAAAGGAAGTTCAGTCCTTAGAAAAACGTTTCTATTTTATAAAATCCTCTAGAAAGCAGTATATGTTCAAGTCAAATCAAATAGAAAATAATTAAAATACATTTTAAGGAGACAACTCACACTCAAAAGACCCTACATTCCATTTAGAAAAGTTAAAAATATGTATTCATTAATTCTAAGAACCTCAGTTCTTAATAACAGTTATTAGTTACTGGGTGCTAATTACATGCCAGACACCGTGCTAAGGGATTTACATGTATCATTTCTAATTTTTACAACAACTCCAAAAGTAAGTGATTAGTCCATCTTTAATAATATTTACCTAAAGTCTTGTATGTGCCAGATTTTATTTACTTAAAGTCTTTCAAACAATGGGAACATATCAGTGAACAAGAAAAGTCCTAGTTTTCATGGATTCCAACTTACTTGCTAAATTAAGGGGGAGACTATATACATATATACACACACACACATATGTATACATATATACACATATATATTCATATACATATAAGTGTTATGTGGTGATATAAGCTAAGAAAATAAAGCAGAGTAAAAGGACAGAGAATGGTTGGAGATGCTATTTCAGACTTTGTGGTGAAGGAAGGCTTTTCTAAAAAGGTGGCACTTGAGTAGACTTGAATTCAGAGAGGGAGTGAACCACATTTCAAAGAACATTTCAAGCAGCAGAAATAGCCTCTTTTCCACAGAACAGGCTCCTTTTAGGGTTGTGAGTCTCTCATCCTTAAGGATGTTCAAGAAGACAAATGAGCCCCCTATTATGGGATAGTGTAGTGGAATGGTGATGGTGCAAGTAAAGAGGAAGTCTGCAGAAGACTGACAGCCCCTCCCAGTTCTAACAATGGGCACTCTCATATATTTGTTTCTAATTAAAATTCTCATTATTTCAATCAGGAGATTTACTCAGAAACTACTGGGCTTTTTCTTCCCCACCTATGATTATCTATACTATTTTTGAAAAATTTTTGTATAAATCAGCAATATCATGAGAAAAAAAGAATGGGTTCAGGACACTCAGACCTGGGCCTAAATCCCAGGCCACACAACACAGACAGATTACTTAACTCCTCTAGTTTGCATTTCCTCATGATTAAAACTGGACTAATCACTTACTTTTGGGGTTACAAAAATTAGAAGTTATACATGCAAATCCCTTAGCATGGCACTTGGCATGGTATATAATTAGCACTCAATAATAACTACTATTAAGAACTGAGGTTCTTAGAACTCTTCTCTGTTTTCACTTACACCAAATTCCATTCCTATTAAAACTAATAATCTGTAGGCCGGGCGCGGTGGCTCAAGCCTGTAATCCCAGCACTTTGGGGGGCCGAGACGGGCGGATCACGAGGTCAGGAGATCGAGACCATCCTGGCTAACACGGTGAAACCCCGTCTCTACTAAAAAAATACAAAAAACTAGCCGGGCGAGGTGGTGGGCGCCTGTAGTCCCAGCTACTCGGGAGGCTGAGGCAGGAGAATGGCGTGAACCCGGGAGGCGGAGCTTGCAGTGAGCTGAGATCCGGCCACTGCACTCCAGCCTGGGCGACAGAGCGAGACTCCGTCTCAAAAAAAAAAAAAAAAAAAAAAAAAAAAAAAAAAACTAATAATCTGTAAAGAAATAGTTTTCAGAACATGAGCTGGTTCATAAAAAGGGCAGATTTATAATGCTGATTTATCATGGTTCAATGAAAAGGAAAAAACAACCAAAATAAACAAACCGTCTAATATGTGGATGGGTGTGAGGTGAATGGCTTCTTGAGAGAGATGTTTATAAAACTTTGGAAATAGGCCAAGGAAACTCCTGCAATTTGCATCATTTAGAGGAATTCTCATTACACTTACTGGGAAAGAGTTTGGCTCCTTTCTACGGCTGTCACTTCCTGCTTCCTGCCATGCAGAACCAATGCAGCTGTTTTGTGGAATAGTTCAATTGAGCAAGCAGTCAGTTCAGCTAGACTCCGGATTGCAAACGCATGGATATCCTGGATGGAAAAACAAAACACAGCATAGCAAAACATTTGGTGGAAATGATACCACCTTACTTCTCTCATACTACAGGATTTGTAGCAGAGACTAATAGTTGCCTTCCAATAAAGAGTGTCTTCTTCTTCCACAGTGATGTAATTTTAAAGCTGGGCTCAAAGCTACAAACACAAAGGCTCCCCTGTAGTCAGGTGTGACCAAGTAACTAAGTTTTGGTCAAATGATTTAGATAACAAGTGTCAGGCGGCAGTTTCTGGGAACCTTCCTCATGACAAAACACACATGCATCCTTTCTCTCTTTTTTCTTCACTCCTCCTTTAATCTTATAGTCTGGATCTAAGATGCTACAATCCTAGATCACAAGGTTTAAATTACGGATAGCAGTGTAAAAACTAAGGAGCCTGGGTCCTTGATTGTGATACATCTCAAATCTACTAAAACAAACAAAAAAGCCTTAGTTGCTTTGGCTACCTCTATTGAATTTTTGTTGACTTGCTCAGTATTTTCTGCTTCCAACTGTTTTTCTCCTTCTTCATTCTCTGCTAATGGCTTGGTCAGAGACTTCCTGATCCATTCGTGGGCGGTATTTCTTGCCTAAGTAAGAAAAATATTGGCCATCAACAATTCAATTCAGTTCACCAAAATTACTGTGCACCTACCAGGAACACAATAGCATCCTAGAAGTAAGGGCACTTGTTCTTACCTGAACATACCATCTAGCTTTTCAGTCCTTATCACTGCTGTCCATCATTTCAGTCCTTATCATAAGTCCTTTTCAGCACTTATCACTGCTGTCCATCATTCCTTTTTTAAATTCTCTAATTGGTGGGTTTTTGTTTTTGTTTTTGTTTTTTAGACAGAGTTTCACTCTTGTTGCCCAGGCTGGAGTGCAATGGCACAATCTTGGTTCACTGCAACCTCCACCTCCTGAGTCCGAGCGATTCTCCTGCCTCAGCCTCTCGAGTAGCTGGGATTACAGGCAACCACCACCATGCCTGGCTAATTTTTGTATTTTTAGTAGAGATGGGGTTTTGCCAGGTTGCCCAAGCTGGTCTCGAACTCCTGACCTCAGGTGATCCCCCTGCCTTGGCCTCCCAAAGTGCTGGGATTACAGGCGTGAGCCACTGCACCTGGCCTCTAATCAGCTTTTCAAAAAACCAAGGTATAATTTACATACAGTAAAGTGCACAAATCTTCAGAGTATGGCTTAAGAAATGTTTATACGTGTATATGCCTGTTAAACTATGATGAAGATATAGAATATTTCCTCATCCCTAGAAGGTCCCTTCATGTCCCTTCCTCGCCAATACTGTTCCAACCATGTCTCCCTCCTCCTGCCCAAAGACAACCCCTCTTCTGCTCACCATAAATAATTTTCCCTGATCTTAAAATGCATAAAAATAGAAATATAAGTTCATTCTAATTTGTGTTTGGCTTAAGCACAACATAATGTCTGTTAGATTTATCCATGTTGTTGCATGTATTAGTTCATTCATATTAACTGTTGCGTAGTATTTCATTTTATATACAGTCATGCACCACATAATGATGTTTAGGTCAACAACAGACCACATATATAATAGTGGTCCTGTAAGACTGGAATACTATATTTTTACTCTATCTTTTCTATACCATTGTGTTGCAACTGCCTACAGTATTCAGTACTGTAGCATGCTGTACAGTTTTGTACTGGAGCAATAGGTTACACAATATAGCCTAGGTATGTAACAGGCTACATCAGCTAGATTTGTGTAAGTACACTCTCTGATATTCGCCCAATGACAAAACTGCCTAATGATGCAGTTCTCATAACATATCCTCATCAATAAACAATGCATGATTGTATATATCACAATTTATCCATTCTCCTGATAATGAATCTAGTTTTCTTTGGTTTTTGTAACCCCACGTTCTTCTGTTCTCCTCTGACCTTTATGATCATTCCTTCTCAGTCTCTTTTATATATTGATCCTAGCTGGCCAGTCTCTTAAACACCAGAATCATTTGGAGGTTTAGCCTTCACTTCTTACTTGTCTCATCCCATTCCCTCTCCATTGATCCTATGCCAGTGGTTTTAACTATCCTCAGCCTACTGTTGACTCTTAGATCCTTATTTCTAGCCCTGACCTCTCCTGAAAATTTATTCCAAATGCCTGCTAGACAAAATACTCTGCAGGCATCACACACATAACAAGTAAAAACTTTGAACTCATTGTCTTTCTCTTCCTACCCCCAAATTTTTCAACCTCTTTCATTTCCCAAAGTTTCAGAAGTGCCACCATGTACCAGTCACCTGAGCCAAAATACAGGGGCCATCTTAAATTTTTTTCCTCTCCAATCAATCACCAAGATGGTCTGATTTTATCCAAGTCCCTTGTCATCCTCTTCCTTCCCGTCTTCCTCCTCCCTATTACCACTTCTTGAGTTCAGAGCCACTTCATGACTGGTCTCCCTGCTTCTGATCTGTTTATCTTAAATCTATCTTCCATAATGCTACCAGTGATCGGTCTTAAGCCCAGGGCTGACCATTCCTCTTTCCTTCAATGGCTCCTCATCAACTAGATCATGCTCTTTACATGATGTAACAAGTCTCCATGACCTAGACCCTACCTATTTTTCCAGCCTCATCTCTTAACATGTTCCACTTTATGTTTGGTAAGAATGACCTCTACTGTACTTGTTCTTTCAATCCTCTACCCAGATATCATCTCTTTCAAGTAACTTAAATTTAGTACTTAACCCAATATGTAGAGTTATCTGTTTCCTAACTAAACTATGTATTATAGGATAGCTAGAGTGTGTTTTATTTGGCTTTGCATACCCAGTGTTCAGAACACTGTGAAGAACATCTACTGTTTTGGATATAGATATGACCAGCATCCATATCTCCTTTCTTTTGGTGGCAGGTTCTAGATTCTCCTTAGTTCATGTGATCTGCATGGAGCTGCTTCCATCTTTTGGCTCCAAAAGTTGGCTAACCATTCAGATTTAGCTACTGAGAATATTAACACCTGTGTCCACAGAGTAAGTGGTTCACAGATTAAAAAGTAACCCAAGCCAGATCAATGGACATCAGTTCCAGGACATCTGGTAAAATTATCAACAAAAAGAAGTGTTCTTTTAGTTGGAGTTACTGAAATGGAAAAAAGTCACCCACCCTAAAGCTGCCAATGGTCATTTTACCACCATATGGAAAAGCTTCCCTAAGAATGAAGCCAAAACAAAAGGAAGCAAGCCAAAACACACAGATAGGGATAGAGACAGGTTCCTGAATAGAGGATGCCTGAAGCCAGTTCTCTTCCTTGATTTTCTGTTTTCTTGAGCTACTGAATTCCCCTCTTTTAAATTAGTTTGTTATTTTTTTAAGTTTCTTAACTTGAGTTTCTGTCATTTGCAAGTGAGAGAGTCCTGGTTTCTCAGAAACTGTTTATTACCATCTACTTTATTAACTTTAAATACACAGAATGTGTTCAAAGCTGTCATGAGAGTAAGAGGAATCCAGAGAAGACTTTGAGAATGATTCTAAATGAGAAACACAGGTTTTATTACATGCACAGTACTGGAGTTAGACCTTGAAGGATCAGTAAGTGGGGCTACACCCAAGGCCACCTGAATGAGCTAAAGCAGACTTGTGTTCCCAGAATTTCACTGTAGGGTTCCTTCCCTACATTCTCCCACAAAAACATTCAGGAAGAATCTAGCTCTGATCTATACCTTCCCATTAATTAAGCATTAACCTCTCAAATTCAAAACACCAAATAGCATGAACTATATAAAGGCTTGGAAACAGAAAAATGCAAAGTGTTTAGGCAAACTGTGAGATATCTAGCAAGACCAAAATATAGGATACAGGCATTTTACTCATTCATTCATTTATTGCAAATATATACTAACACTGTGCCAGTGCTAGGGACTCAATGGTGAATAATACAATCTAGGAGCCTGCTCTTCTCCCTCCTAATAAGGCAATTAACAAGCAAACAAATACATACATAAAGAAAATAAAAGGGAGTAATGATGAGTGTGGGTAGAAGGTGGCTTGAGTTTGGGTGGTCAGAAAGGGTCTCTGAAAAGTTATGTTTAAGCTGAAATCTGAAGGAATTGGCCATACAAATATTTAGGCAACAAGAGTTGTAAGCACAGGGAAATGAGCGTGGTACACCTGAGAAACAGAACAAAGGCCAGTAAGGAAGAATATAGAGGATGGGGAGTGTGACAGAAAATTAGGTTGGAGTAGTGAGATTTATAGAAGAGAACAGTGAGAGATGAGGCTGGAAAGAATCCTAACAGTTGACTAATAATACAAACAATATGTTAAATTATTTACAATATCTTTGAAGAGACAAAATGAGTAAAAAACGAAGGATTAATTTATCTGAGATTAAAAAAGAAAGAAAAATGGAAAGTGATAGACCACATAAAAGAAAAAATTGATACGATAAATTTAATATACTTGAGGGAGTTTTTTTGAGATAGAGTTTCACTCTGTTGCCCAGGCTACAGGGAAGTGGCATGATCTCAGCCCACTGCAACCTCTGCCTCCCAGGTTCAAGCTCAGCCTCCCGAGTAGCTGGGATTATGGGCACCTGCCACTGCGCCTGACTAATTTTTGTAGTTTTAGTAGAGATGGGGTTTCACCATCTTGGCCAGGCTGGTCTTGAACTCCTGACTTCGTGATCTACCCATCGGCCTCCCAAAGTGCTGGGATTACAGGTGTGAGCCACTGCCCCTGGCCAGGAGATATTTTAGTAGGCATAGAGCTTACCCAAAGTGACCTCTCTTGTAATAAATATATTAAGTGAAATCATCACGAACTATTGTGCCAACTCAAGGTAATTTATTATCCTTTTCCAAAATTATTAATGTCATCCACGCCCACAATTCAGTCTGGAACTTTCCAGTTGTTGAGATCTGCAGATCTCAAAAGGTACCTTTGAACTTGGCTTCTCTAAAAGCTTATTTATTTCCAACAGAAAAATAACGAGGCCTAGAGAAGAAAATGAATTTGTCCAAGGCCATACCACATGTGAGTATCAGAACAAGAATCAGAATCATAGAATCATATTCCCAGACTCCTAATTCAGTGCTCTTTCCCCTACATCACAGCCTGCCATATAAATCTTTTGAGGGTCAATGGTTAAGGCCTTGATCCTTAATCAATCTACATCTTAAGTCTCAATGCCTAAAATTTAAACAATCTGAAGACTGCTTTCAGAGAATGGCTAGAACTGCCAGATAGATAAGGAGTTACTGGTCTTCCAAAAATTATCATTAATGTGATCTCTCATTAAGCATGTAAACTATGTCTTTCTCATGATTATTTCCCTAGCACCTAGCAAATTACTAAGCACAATAAAGGTTTATTGAACATATATGTATATTTATTGAACAGCTACATGTAGAGGACATCGGGCTATCTTCTGTGGAGCCATCAACAGTGAGCATTTATTTACTATAAGCCAGGCAGTTTGTAAGAGCTTTGTGTGTGTGAACACATTTAAACCTCACAGGAACTCTACATTATTATTACTCACCACACAGAGAAAAAAATGAGGCTCACAGAGGTCAAGCAACTTGCTAAAGGTCACACAGAAAGTAATAGGTAGTAGAGCTGGAATTTTAAGGAATAGGTATGTACAGATCCTGCCTTTGAGAAATTTAAGCTTCAGGATAGGAGGTAAGATATACATATTTTTTAAAAACTGTGATAAATGTATAAAAATACTTATGCACAAGGCTAAGTGAAAAAGGCAGAGTGCTAAAGAACAAATACAGTATGTTGACTTTTCCATCAGAGGAGATAAGAAAATATATCTGCTTATCTTTACAAAAAGAAACTCGGGAAAGATAAGCCAAAAACAAGAAAGATGAATACCTACAAAAACAGGAGAACGGAGTGGAAGGGAAGTGGGAGGGAGAGACCTGAGTATATTTTTTATGCAGTTTGATTTTTGGAAGCGTGTTAATACCCTACATATTCAAAAACAAAATTAACACATAGGCAGCAAATAAAACAATTTTTTGTAGGTTACTTTTATAGTACAGATTAAGTATCACTTATACAAAAATCCAAAATTCTCCAAAATTTGAAAATTTTTAAGTGTCAATATGATGCCACAAGTGAAAAATTCCACCCCTGACCTCATGTGATGGGTTGCAGTCAAAATGAATCCAAAATTTTGTTTCATGCACAATTTTTTTTTTTTTTTTTTTAAGACAGAGTCTCATTCTGTCGCCCAGGCTGGAGTACAGTAGTGCGATTTTGGCTCACTGCAAGCTCCGTCTCCCGGGTTCATGCTATTCTCCTGCCTCAGCCTCCTGAGTAGCTGGGACTACAGGCACCCACCACCACGCCTGGCTTGGCTAATTTTCTGTATTTTTAGTAGAGATGGGGTTCCACCGTGTTAGCCAAGATGGTCTCGATCTCCTGACCTCGTGATTCGCCTGCCTCGGCTTCCCAAAGTCCTGGGATCACAGGCGTAAGATACTGCGCCCGGCCTCCATGCACAAAATTTTTAAAAATATTGTATAAAATTATCTTCAGGCTATGTGTATAAGGTATACATGAATATAAATAAATTCTGTGTTCAGACTTAGATTGCATCCTCAAGATACAGCACTGTGTGTGTGTGTGTGTGTGTGTGTGTGTGTGTGTGTGTGTGTGTGTGCGCGGGCAAATATTCCAAAATCCAAACAAAAATCTGAAATCTGAAACAGTTCTCTATTCCAAGCATTTTGGATAAGGGATACTCTATAGTATAGGCAAAGCAATAAAACCATTTCAGACACATCTCATAATTAAGGAAATGTGGTAATATTGTTGGGAGACAAGGTTCCTACTGTAGAAGAGAGATACAAATGTGTAACAGGGAAAGGCAAGGAAAAACCCTGTAGGGATGGATTAAAATTGGAGTTATACTATGTGTGAAATCATGATTTCTAAAACACATATAGGTGTACATGTGCACATATGTATCTACATACATAACACATATAGGTGTATACGTACCTGAGTATATTTTCTAGCTCTGCTGACAGCCTAGAATCAGAGTCACGCCAGTGGCGATGAGTACACTTAGTACTCAGGTCTTGGTTTATGAAACCAAAAATCAATGAATCATGCTTTCGCAAAGAAATTTCTGGTTGTGGGGCTGGGGCACAGAAGGTATTAAGACATAAGAATATCTTGTTATGCCAGAAAGTAAGGAAGCACCCCAAAATGATGGAGGCATGCCACCTAGGAGCCAGCTTGAAAGACAAATCTGAACATCAAAATATTAAGGACAGTGATGAATTACAAGCCAATGGGGAAAAAGCAGAACTCCATGACAACAAATAAAAAATACTGACAACAAATAAAAAAAGAATGAACAAAATAGGGGAGAAAGGAGAGCTCATGACTATACTGGAACGCTTAAAGCCAACTGGTAAATCTTCACACTAGATATTGGTGCAAGAATCATAAATAGATGCTAGATTTAGGAGAGAAATTATGATGAGTAGCAGGATATTTGTATGGTCTTACAGTATCTCCTCACAGAACGTTTATTAGCAAGATAGGTAAATAAACTGTAGCTCTACAGAAAGAAATCAGACAACACATCACCAATAAGGGGTAAATGAATATCATGTACTTTTAGATGTGATACCCTGGGCAGGACACACCATCACTTACAGAGTATTTTGGCCAGGAATGTATAAACTGACATTAATCATGAGAAAGCATCAGACAAACTCCAAAACTTGTTTTTCAAAAACACCAGTGTCATAAAAGACAAAGAAAGGCTGAAGAACTGTTCTAGATTAAAGGAAACTAAAAGTACATGGCAGCTAAATTTGTGATCATGTACTGGCTCCAGTGGTGAAGGAAAAAGTTTGATATTATTGGACGTTATTGGGTCAACTGATGTAACTGAAATACGGAAAACAGATTACAACAAATTAGTACAACAAAAGTACTAATGTTAAATTTACTGAAGTTGATAGCTATACTGTGGTTATGTAAGGGAATATCCCTATCCTTAGCAGACACATATTGAAAAATTTAGAAGAGCAATAATGTTCACAATTTACTCTCAAATAGTTACAAAAATAATATGTGTTTATCTACATGTGTATACGTGTATTTATACACACAGAGAGAAAGAACATATGTGAAAGCACAAATGTTTAAGCAAATGAGGTAAATATTAAGAGTATTGGATTTGCATAAAAGGTATACAAATATTGTTTGTGCTACTCTTGTAACTTTTCTCTAAGTTTGATATTATTTCCAAAATAAAAAGCACTATAATACAAGATCAAAAGTGCTGTAGTAAAGTGTTACAGTAGAGGTAAGGGAGATGAGCTGCCTGGGGATGATCTAAAAAAGCTTTCTCAGAGAATACACCTTTTTCGATGGGCATAGGAGAGTGGGATAACACACCAAACATCATATTCCTTGCCCTGAGGGATGGAGACAAGGTGACTGGGTTGACTATGCAATAGCTCTCACCTCTCCCTGGCCAGGAAACAATGTGCACCTGCAGCTGACTGGTCTTGAAATGCTTCTCAAGATTGGTAGAGGTGGGTAAAGAGGTAGCAAGCAGTCCATGACCCAGTGAACAGTGTCCCATGAGCAGGCACTGGCTTATATTTGCCACAGAACCTCCCTACCCACTCTAAGCTTTGATTAAAGTCTCTCCACATTTCAGATATAAGAAAATAGTTCCAGAATCAGCACCAAAAATAAAGGCCTTGGTCATAATACTCTCTCACTTCCATACGCCAAATAGTCATTATCTGAGTTACTGGGCTCTGGGTAATGACAACCTCTAATCCCTATGGGCAAGGCCACATATTATTTCTAAATCATTCAGACCCCTGAGAACAGTGAGTCCTCAACAGAGGCTCACCCACTGGAATCATGAGGCTGGTCAGCACTGCCAACTTTTAATGACCAACATTGTAGCCTAAATTAAGCTTTCAGATAAGCAAAGCATCCCAACTGAAAACAGGTGAAGATGGGACACGTGTTGGAGGGCCGATGTGGGTTCAACACACTGACTTAGAGGAGCAGAAGGCAAGTAGATGCAGAACCCAATTCTGGGTATAACGAGAATACACCCTCGATTTTGGTGACACCTCTGCCAGGAATTTATAATCTTATAGTCTTTATCCACTACATTCTTACAAGTAAAATAATGAAAATCACCAAGAAGCGATAACTTACCCTGGCAAGTTTCTCTGGTTTGGAGGAAACGTGCAGCTGGGAAAACAGCTCTGTTATGTCCTTGGTAAAATCTTCATCCCCTAAAAAACCAAGTCCCATATAAAACACTCCAGAAAGACTGCTGAGGATCATGAGGTGGCAGGCAAGGAGGAAGAGGAGAGGAGTGGTAATAGCAGTAGCAGTAGTAGTAATAACAATAGTAGCAGCAGTAATGTACATGAGCATGGTGCTTTAGTGCTTATAGTATCCTTTTATGTGTATTATATCAATAAATGCTTCAAGGGGCTTGAGAGAAAAGTGACATTATTCCACGTTAGAGATGAAGTGATTAAGGCCTGAAGACATTAAGTGACTTCCCCAAGATTGCATAGCAAAGATTAGTGGTCAAACCTTAGTCTTCCTACTCCAAGTCCAAATCCTGTGCTGTGCTTTTTGCATTATATCCAGAGCATGAATGTAGAAATGGTGACAGCATAGACTAAGCAAGTACTGTGCATGCACTTCCAAGAAAGTGGAATTTAAGTTGGGACATCAAACTTGAGTACAAGTTAGCCAGGAGAATAGGAAGAGTTTCAGGCAGAGAAACAAACGCAAAGAGCCAAAGGTGAAAGAAAGTATGCCAAAGAGTTTAATATGATTGAGAGTATCTAATGTAAGGGGGAGAAGTGGTAAGCTTTCTAGAAAGGTAAGATCCAGATAATAAAGGCCATATAATCGATGGTGAAGAATTCAAACTTTATAATGAGGAAGTGAGGAACCACTGAATGGTTTTAAGCAGAAACAGAATCACATTTAAATTTTAGAAAGATCACTTTGATGGCTGGGTGGAGAATGGATTAGAAGGGGGAAAAGAAGGGAGGCAGGCTGAGGCAATAATGCAGGATCCAGGTAAGAGAAAATGGTGGATAAGAAGAAAAGAGGATCAATCATTACGCATCCATCATAATTAAAAATAAAAAGAAGAGAAGCAAAGGGGATTCCAGAACGTTGGAAGGATGGTAAGGAAGCTGTTGGAGTTAGTCTTGTGAAAGATGATGGAGAACCAGGAACACTTACAAAGAAACAAACAAGCAAATGGGTGACTCAAAATCAAAAAGCAATTAGCAAATCCAAACAAACAGTGGGAAATGCTCTCTTTCCCTCTCCACTCATCTGAATCCTATACACTCCCTGCTTTGTGGTCCAGCCCAAGGCTTCTCTGCAACATGGAATGCAGAAGAGAACTCTTGTACATAGAAATCTTCTAGCAATCTACTTACAGTCTATAGAATATTTCTTAATTCACTATAGTTTGCCAGGGCAAATCATTACTGCTTCATACTCAGCATCTTGCTTAATATTCCCAGGAATAAAAAAGTGTATCTTGGCTCTTCTCTCTCCATCCACTATCCTTTTGTCCTTCTTTCTTGGTATTTAAGGCAGAGAATTAAATGATTTCGTGATCTCAGGTATAATAAGGTTTGGGAAAAGCTGATCTCACTAACTGACACAACTCTTCCTACATAACACATTTAAACAACTGCTAATAACATTCTACTATTTAGGCAGACATTTTGTTTTCTCAAATAATTTGTAATTTGGATACAAGGGATGAATCTGAATCCATAGTGGGATGCATATACCCAAACGGGTTCACAAAATAATTCAATGGAGAACAGGAAAAAAAATGGACTTTTTATTTATAGAAATTTATCTCATTCTACTAAAAATTCTATTTTAGGGTATATTTTAGAATGTAAATTACAATTATGGTAGTACATATAATTTATATAAATTAAATTTATATAAATCTTCCAAGCAGGAAGACTCCTTCTGAAAAAAGGAATCAGGTATATATGGTAGAGGGGCAAGAGCCCAGGATGCTGATGGAAAATGAAGATAACCAACATCATCACTGGTTCTATGGTATTCTCTCCCCTCTGAAAATCACCACTTTTTAAAAAAACAGCTTCATAGAGACAAAATTAAATACTAAGGTCACTATTGCATTCTCAACCAAAATCACTGGGAAAGGCTGGGGCACAGTGAGTGGTGGGGGGAATCCAGTGCTATCTTTTCAGAGTTCTGATCTCTGGAGAACACGTAAGAAAAAAAAAATCACAGACACAAAACCATCTGTTTAGAAAACTGCTTGAAGTTCTCTGAATGGTATTTAAAGACTGGGATTTCTGATTACTATGGAAAGCCAGATGTTGAGTAAATTGAACAAATACTGTTAATGGCACTACAAACAAATAACTTAAGTTTATAAATAACTGAGGATTGTCATGTAGGGCTTGATTAGGAAATTAGGAACAATGGAGCAACTTACGAAAATCAAAATTAATTTATCGGTTTCCTGCTAAGACTTTTAAAATGCATATTTTTACCTATTTATTTATGCCCTTCTAATAATGAAAATAATAGCCACATTTGTTGAGTGCTTACTATGTGCCACATATTAAATACAGTATTTCATTTAATCCTTGTAACTTGAGAGGAATTAGCATACTCTTCTTACAGGTGAGGAAACAGAAGCTCAATGTTAAGTAACTTCCCAAAGTCACATGGCTTAGTAAATGACAGATCTTGATTTTGAATCCAAGTCTAATTCCAAAACCCATCCTTTTATTCACCATGCTATACTGCCTTCTCAGTATCTCAAGGCAGCTTTAGAAACTTATATTCAAGAACCGTTTTCCAATGAGGACAAGTACCTTTACATAGAATAAGGTATCATTTAGCAAGATGCTATATAGCCAGCCAGTTTGACTTCTTAGTTAGGACACAATGCAGAACACAAATGGAAACAAAAAAGAAAAAGCCCTGAAAGTAGGAGAGATCACGGCAGAAAGGAGGCAGGAATAGACTGCAGCTCCCACTCGGATGGACAGAGCAGCACATGGAGGCTCACATTGTAAACTTCTGCTCCAGAATGACAGCAGGAACACATTAGAAAGCCAAGAGAACCCATATACCCTCTGAAGGAAGTGGATTGCTCCTGCAGGACCCGGGAGACCTCCCAAATACTGTGAGTGCCCAAACAGTGTGGAAGTGGGAAAGGGAGATCATCTGTCCCAGAACACACACCCCATTAGGGAACCTGAAGGTCTAGATTACGGGAAACAAATCTGACCTCATTGGAGCTGAGTCAACTTAGAGAGCCAAGTGAAATACAGGGGTAGAGGAAGCAGTAGGAAAATCCCTGTGGGATCGCTGGGTTCTCTAGCAAGCAATTTCCACCTTGCCTCACAGGGGTTCTTGGGGAGGAAAGGCAGAGGCAGTGGGAAAAGGCCACAGGGAGAAGGAAACCTCCAGTTGAACTTTGTAACAATTTGAACTGATGGAGAACTCCCCTTAACAGAACTCAGGAGAGGGCATGAATCCAGTGTGTGGACTCCACAGGCAGGGGAAGACGGAAAGCCCTACTTGCTTTCACAGCTGGGAGGTGGGTAGTCTGGGGCAAGTTCTCAGCCCTGCTTGCCCACTGCCTGGAAATGGACTCAGTGTGGTTGGGGGGTGGGCACAGTGGGAGTGAGACCAGCCCTTTGGGTTGCATGTGAGCTGGGTGAGGCCTGTGACTGCTGGCTTTCCCCCACTTCCCTGACAACCTGCATGACACAGCAGAGGCAGCCATAATCCTCCTAGGAACATAACTCCATTGACCTGGGAACCTCATTCCCATTCCCCACAGCAGCCACAGCAAGACCTGCCCAAGGAGAGTCTGAGCCCAACCCTGCCCTTCCCAACCTGATCTGAAGACAAAGAATATATACTCTTGGGATTTCTAGGGCCCTGCTCACTGCCTGTTCTTCTCCATACTACCACAGCTGATGCTCTCTTGAAAGTGCCACCTCCTGGCAGGAGGCCAACCAGAATAAAAATAGTGCATTAAGCAACCAAAGCCAAGGATGCTCACAGAGTCCACATCACCCCCCTGCCACCTCCACCAGAACAGGTGCTGGTATCCACAGCTGAGAGACCCACACAGATGGTTCACAAGACTTTGTGCAGACAACCACCAGTACCAGACTGGAGCCTGGGAGACTTGCTGGATGGCTAGATCCAGAAGAGAGATAACAATCACTACAGCTCAGCTCTCAGGAAGTAACATCCCTAGGAAAAGGGGGAAGAGTGCTACGTCAAGCAAATACCCCGTGGGACAAAAGAATCTGAACACCCTTGTGCCTTAGACCTTTCCTCTGACACAGCCTACCCAAATGAGAAGGAACCAGAAAACCAACTCTGGGAATATAACAAAACAAGGTTCTTTAACACTCCCAAAAATCACACTAGTTCACCAGCAATGGATCCAAACCAAGAAGAAATCCCTGATTCAACTGAAAAAGAATTTAGAAGGTTAGTTATTAGGCTAATTAAGGAGGCACCAGAGAAAGGAAAAGCCCAATTTAAGGAAATCAAAAAAATGATATGAGAAGTGACGAGAGAAATAGACAATGAAATAGATAGCATAAATAAAAAACAACCAAAACTACAGGAAACAATGGATGCACTTACAGAAATGCAAAATGCTATAGAAAGTCTCAACAATAGAATTGAACAAGCAGAAGAAAGAACTTCAGAGCTTATAGACAAGGTCTTCAAATTAACCCATTCCAACAAAGACAAAAGAAAAAGAATAAGAAAATATGAACAAAGCATCCAAGAAGTCTGGGATTATGTTAAATGACCAAACCTAAGAATAATCAGCATTCCTGAAGAAGAGAAATGTAAAAGTTTGGAAAACGCATTTGGAAATCGAGGAAATTTCGAGGAAAACTTCCCCAGCCTTGTTAGAGACTTAGGCATCCAATACAAGAAGCTCAAATTTCATCTGGGAAATTCATCACAAAAAGACTATTGCCTAGGCACATTGTAATCCGGTTATCGGAAGTTAAGACAAGGGAAAGAATCTCAAGAGCTGTGAGACAAAAGCACCAGGTAACCTATAAAGAAAAACCTATCAGATTAACAGCAGATTTCTCAGCAAAAACCCTACAAGCTAGAAGGGATTGGAGCCCTATCTTCAGCCTCCTCAAACAAAATAATTATCAGCCAAGAATTTTGTATCCAGTGAAACTAAGCTTCATAAACGAAGGAA